AGACGGGGTTTTACCATGTTGACCAGGATGGTCTCAATCTCTTGACCTTGTGATCTGCCCGCCTCAGCCTCCCAAAGTGCTGGGATTACAGGTGTGAGCCACCGCGCCTGGCCCTGCCATGTTGAGTTTATGGCACCACTACCTGCTGGGAATGTCCTTCCATCAGTCCTTCCAACACTGGCTGTCCTTGTCATCAGGATCACACCTTAAATGTCACTTCCTTGAGTGACATAGAGTCTTCCCTTCCACCCACTCTAAAGGATGCACTTAAGCTTTCTGTCACATGACTCTATCTTAATGAATACAAAATTAATGAATCTGAATAAATCAGTTCACACGTCTATTCATTATAATTTTTCTCCTCCCTGCCACACATCACTGGAGTATGATAACCTGAACACAGGATCTGTTGAATATTCAGATCGTAGGACATTAGAAGATGGACAATAAGGCTGGGCGCGGTGGCTCATGCCTGTAATCCTAGCACCTTGGGAGTCCAAGGCAGACAGATCACTTGAGGTCAGGAGTTCGAGACCAGCCTGGGCAACATGGCAAAACCCTGACTCTACCAAAAATACAAAAAGTAGCCAGGTGTGGTGGTGGGCACCTGTAATCCCAGCTACTCGGGAGGCTGAGGCAGGAGAATTGCTTGAACCTGGGAGGCAGAGGTTGCAGCGAGCTGAGACTGAGCCACCGCATTCCAGCCTGGGCGACAAAGCAAGACTCCATCTCAAACAAAAACAACAACAACAAATAGACAATAAATAATTAATATGGTCTTTTAAATCCTTCCCATCTTCCAGCATTTTCATGTTCACAGACCTCCCTGGCGGAATGAGAAGCATTGCTTTTCAGCAGGCGGCAGGCCGCTCTGACCTCTTCCTCCCCTGTGGACGAGGCCTCAGCCCCAAAGCATCTGAGGCTGAAAGGCCTTACAGATCCCCGCACTGACCACAGTCTCAGATGTGAATGGGGAATCTGGGGACCTGGGAGGGGCTGCCTAGCCCAGGGTCATGGAGCTGGGAGGCGGCACAGCTTTCATTCACACAGGTGCCTTCTGTCTCTGCAGGGACTCAGACACTAGAAGAGTCATTTGCTTACCAGATTCAGGGGTGGATTCCACGAATGACAGAGGAGTACTCTTAGTGTTTTCTAGGAAAAAAAAAAAAAGGCAGAGAAGGGGTGAGCAAGAGTCATTGATTGCCCCATTAAAGTAGGATCATTTTCTTTTTCTTTTTCTTTTCTTTTTGAGACAGACTCTCGCTGTGTCGCCCAGGCTGGAGTGCAGTGGTGCCATCTTGTCTCACTGCACCCTCCGCCTCCCGGGTTCAAGCCATTCTCCTGCCTCAGCCTCTCGAGCAGTAGAACCATTTTCTTTGGAGGGTTGGTCCCTGCACACCCCCTACTCTGTCATCCACCTAAAGACTAATGGGGGTCCTGGGGTCTCTTCCTTGGAATCTCTGGGGGGTAATTCCCTCCTTGAGATGCGAAGGTGATAAGGAGATGCTTGGTGGTGTCAACAGACATTGTCTCCCATCAGGATGACAAATATCCACGTTCCCCGGCAGGGAAATCTCCCTGAGGTGAGGGGTCAGGAGGGGCTTTGGAGAAATGGAAAAGGGTGAGAGGCTGAGGCAACCTCTTATCTCCATGAACCACATCTGGCCTCACCTCCCCCTGTGTTTGTCCTGACCTCTTTCTTCACACAGGAGGTGGTGGAGGGTGTGAAGCTGCCCCGTCTTCCACCCTACACCCTGACAGCCCCATCATGCTCAGCTTCTTTTTTCCTGTGTTTTTTTCTGTTTTTTTCCTGTATTTTTTATCCTTTTTTTTTTCCCTATTTTTTTTCTTTCTTTTTTCCTGTATTTTTCACTGTCTCATTTTATCCAGAATACCTAATACCCCCGTGTCCCCAGCGGGACGCCCCTCAGGTGTGGCTGTGTGATCTAGTGGGCACCAGAGCGTGCAGCCGGCATGGACTCCTCACCTGTGACGCAAAGGTGCAGTGGGTCACTGGGGGCTGACCACTCATAGGGAGAGTCATTGAAAGAACCATAGCATCTATAGGTCCCACCGGGGACTGGCGTTGCGGGGCCCACAGAAAAGTGGGCCTGGAATGCTCCACTGTGCCTCTGCCCTCCACTGAGCCACTGTCCATGAGCAACCCCATCTCTGAACAGGTGGTACCGGTCAAATGAGATTTCAGAGCTGCAGAAGAAGTTCAGCTTCTCTCCCAACCTCATCATGGGGTCCACCTGGGTGGAGAGAGAAGGTTTTTTGTATTTTCCTAGGAGAAAAAGAGGTGGATTTTAGAACACACTCCTGAGTGCGTGAACAAAGTAATCTCTCTCCCTCTTTTTTTTTTTTTTTTTTTCTGAGACAGAGTTTCACTCTTGTATCCCAGGCTAGAGTGCAGTGGCGTGATCTCAGCTCACTGCAACCTCAGCATCCTGGGTTCAAGTGATTCTCCTGCCTCAGCCTCCTGAGCGGCTGGGATTACAGGCAATCACCACCACACCTGGCTAATTTTTGTATTTTTAGTAGAGACGGGGTTTCACCATGTTGGTCAGGCTGGTCTCGAACTCCTGACCTTGTGATCCACCCACCTCAGCCTCCCAAAGTGCTGGGATTATAGGCGTGAGCCGCCGCACCCGGCCTCCTTGTTCTTATCTTGGCAGCAGATTCCGAATGTCAGCTGTTGCCTCTGTCAATCTCATGTTCCTCTGTAGGGTCCTGAGTCAGCCTATGTCTGTGTCTTTTTACTTCCCCTGCATTTCATTGGTTCTCCATTGATTCTCCACTCTCCCTATGTGTGTTCAGCCCCCAGTGACCCCCTGCACCTTTTGCATCACAGGTGAGGAGTCCATGCCTGCTGCATGCTCTGGTGCCCACTAGATGACAGAGCCACACCTGAGGGGCATCCCGCTGGGGACATGGGGGTATTAGGTATTCTGGATAAAATGAAACAGTGAAAAATACACACAGGAAAAAAGAAACTGAGCATGATGGGCTGTCAGGGTGTAGGGTGGTAGACGGGGCAGCTCCACACCCTCCGCCACCTCCTGTATGAAGAAAGAGGTCAGGACAAACCCAGGGGGAGGTGAGGCCAGAGGTAGTCCCTGTGACTGTGTCCCTGTGGCTTACCGCCCCTAGAAGCCATATGAGATGTAGGTTTCTCCTGGAAAATAGAAATTACTCTGCGCTTTGAGAACCTTCAGAAAACACAGTGCTGGCTTTGGGTTCCCCGACACGGGGCTATGGGGTTATGAGTCTCACTATTTTTCAATTGTGTGTTGAAAAATATAAGAATCTCGGGAGGATCAGAAGGAACCTCACAGGCTCCTGCAGTGAGTGACTGGCTGTACTCCCAAGCCCAAGGAGTTAGACGTGATTACTTGTTGGGGAGCGTGGAAGTGACCCCTCCTCCCTCTTTAGGCGGTAAGACGTATTAAACCCCTTTGCTGAGCCCTTCCTCACACTCCCTCTGTTCCTTTTTTTCTCTTCCTCTACTGAGGTTTGATTAACAACCGCATTACATGAAGCTCACAGGGCCCCAACGGACCACGGACGGTCCAGCCACACTCACCTGTGATCACAATATCCAGGGGGTCACTGGGAGCCGACCACTCATAGGGGGAGTGATTGAAAGAACCACAGCATCTGTAGGTTCCTGCATGGGCAGGCGTTATAGGACCCATGGAAAAGACAGCCTGGACGTGGTGGCTCCCAGCCTCCATCCCCTCGTCAAGCTGCTGAGAGTGCTGCGTGTGCTCCTCTTTGTATAAGACAAATTCATCAAAGGCCAGTGGTGAGCGACAGCGCAGGCTCACCCTGGCTCCTGTGTGCACCAGGGAGCTTGGGTGTGCTGAGATGGAGGGTTTGGTGAACAAGCCTGAGAGCAAAGACGGAGGAGTTCACATGAGTCTTCTTTCTCACCCCTCGCCTGAGACCTCAGGGTGAAGCTCTCCCTCGTCACCCCCAAAGCCCGTCTGCATCCTTCCTGTTGGTGTGCGTACATTGTGTGTGCATGTTTTCTCTGCGCAGATCCCCATTGTCCGGCTTGAAGCCATAGGAGATGTGTGGTTCTCCTGGAAAATGGGAATTACTCTGTGCTTTGAGAACCTTCAGAAAACACAGTGCTGGACTTAGGTTTCCTGGCATGGGACTGTGAGGTTGTGAGGCTATTTTTCAATTCTGCATATTGAAAAATACAAGAATCGCTGGAGGATCAGAAGGAACCTCACAGGCTCACACTGAAGGAAACAACTGGTTTTGCCCCAAAATCCAAGAGGTTATACGTGACTACTTATTGGGGAGGGTGGAAGTGACTCCTTTTCCCTATTTGGGCAGAAGGACACGGTAAACTCCTTTGCTGGGCAGCCCTTCACCGTTCCAGTCTCCATTCAGATCCTCCAGGAGCCTGGATCTCCCTACCTCACACCGACTTGCTTTCCCCGCTTTCTTGGTGGAGAGACCCAATCTCTGCTCTGTTGCTTCTGAGCTCCTTGAATGTGAGACCGCCAAATTAAAATATACGCATTGTCAATGTTGTAAAGTGGTTATACAGTAAAACTGAAACGTTTGCTCTGTTATTTTCAAAGTTGCAAATTAACGACTTGAAAATGGAGAACTATTTTCAAGTTCTTCAATTTTTCTCCCATGCTTCAAGAAGCTAACAACAGCAAAAACTGATGTTGCATTATTAACACAGACCATGCCAATCCTCATTCTTGATGTCTTTGAAATCCTTCCTTGACTCATGGTTCAAGACACAGATCTCTATCTTTCTCTTCTGGAAAACTCTACACTCTCTCTCTCTTTTTGTGTATATTTACATACATATGAAAAATCTGAGTAACTCCACACCCTCCCTTCCCTGCTTTACAGGATGAGCAGGGGCGACTCCACGGGATGAGTCTCTAACTCCCTGTAGACACTGCACATCCATGAGAGAGAAGGGATGAGTGTCAGGAGACCAGGAAGGAGGACAAGAGGAATGGGTGTGTTTCCCAATCCACGTCCCACTGAGTCACTGGACTCATCTCCCAAGGGAAGTGTCACTTCCCCAAGTCTCTGGCTCCTTCAGGGCAGGGTAATGACTTCCCTGAGGGAAACACTGGTGCTGGGGTCAAGCAACATGGCTCCTCCCTGGACCCATCCTGCTGGAGTTGATACCAGCACCCTGTGTCTGCTACTCCCCAGACAGATTCTCCCTCTGCTCGGCCTCGGCTTCCTCCCTCCTCCTCCTCCACCTGAGTACCTGATTCCTCACAGGAAATGCCCTCTCTTTAAATTACCAGGACAGCTTCTGTGTCCACAGTTAGTGCATGACCAGCAATCCCACAATGACTCTCTGGCTTCACTGGGTGTGGACTCTGGGAAGGGCCATCTGGACACTAGGTGGACATGGGGTGGGCTGGGCTTCTCCTACCTGTGACGATGATCTTCAGAGATTTGCTCCCAGCTGACTGTTTTGAGGTGTGCTTGTAAATTCCAGCACATCTGTAGGTCCCTGCGTGTCCTGGGGTCACAGGGTTGATGGTGACGTGGTTGGAAAGGCCAGTGTACAACTCACGGACTCGGCTCCCAGTTGTTTGGAATATTGTGAACATGACAAACTGAAGACGGGAATGACAGGAGAGAGTCACACGTCCTCCTAGGGGAACCAGAGGGCTCGGCCAGGCTGACAGGGAGAATTCGTCCTGAGCACCTGGAAGAGGAGGAGACACAACCTAGAGAGGGAAATGTGGAGCCCCCCGTCTCCCACTGTCCTTGCGGGCTTTTCCTTCTTCACATTGTTCTGGTTTGCCGCATAACATGGGGTCCCCTGATGCCCTGGGATACCTGGTAGTGAGCCAGGGACACAGCCCACCCCAGAGTAGACATGGAAGGTTTCCCCAGAACAGCATTCTACTAAGCATAATGATACAGTATTGAGCCAAGTTGCTCCTAGTTCTTGTCTACAACAAGAAATCTGTGCATGGAGGAGAAGGAGGAAATCTACCAGATTCAAGCAATACGAAAAACATATCAACTCATTTAACAATTTCCGACACAAGTGCCCGGCATGCGTCCCCCGCCTCCCGACGGAGAGTACTCCTGCCCACCCCTAGACACGCCGGATTCTGAGCATCACAGGCTCCTTCAGAAGATTGGATGAGCCTGAGGGGCTGCCCTTGGAGGGTTTCTAGAACAAAATGGAAATTGGGGTCTCCAGAGGACCCCACTTCCTGTGATCCCAGTGCTGAATGCAAACCCCCCCCCCCAATGTCATCTGCATCATCCTGACTTCGTGTCCTCCCTCCCTGCCTGGAGAATCATTTGTGTTTGGCCAACACAGCATCCTAGGACTGAGATAGGACTCACCCACATGTGTGCAGATCTTCTGGTTCAGACAGAATCCTGGGCAAAAAAAAAAAAAAGAGAGAGAGAGAGATAGCTTGTCTTCACATGAATCCTGCCCTCCTTGTAACTGGGTTTGTCAGCTCAGCCTGGATTCAGAGGGTAGATGAACCTGCTTCCCACCCGCAGCCCCAGGTTGTGGAGAGGCCAGGTCTTCAAGAGAGCATTTTCCATCCCAACCCTGTCCGCTTTTCCCTTCCAGGACTTACCCAGACACAGGAGGGTGATGAGTTTGGGGGCCATGGTACCACTTCTCTTGGGCAGGACACAGGGGTTGAGCTAAACTGGAAAATGAACAGGATGTGGTAACCATGGTTCCGGTTTCAGTATGCAGAGTTTAGAGGGTGACCACCACACAGGAAGATGACCAGCTCTCACCCTAAACATAGCGGGTGACACAGGAAACTTGCAGATGGTATTTTTGGTTCAAGAGCCCCTAACAAAGGCCTGCCATGAACCTCAGCACCGACCAATCGATAACGTCTGAATTTCAAGTTTAATTTTCTATGTGCAAAATTGTAAAATGATATCTTAATATCTTATTGCCTTTTTCAAGAACTATGCATGATTCGGTTTCTGTGATGCAACGTTCTCCTGCCAAATTAAAATAGACGCATGGTCAATGTTGTAAAACGGTTGTACAGTAAAACTGAAATGTTTATCCTGTTATTTTCAAAGTTGCAAATTAATTACTTGCAAATTGAGAACGATTTTCAGGTTCTTCAATTTTTCTCCTATGCTTCAAGAAGTTAACAAGAAAAATTGATTTTGCGTTATTAACACAGAAGCGAGCGTGAAAATCCCCGTTCTTGATGTTTTCTCTGAAATCCTTCCTTGACTCACAGTTCAAGACACAGATCTCTATCTTTCTCTTCCAGAAAACTCTACTGTCTCTGTGTGTGTGTATATTTACATACATATGTAAACTATGAATAACACAAACATATGTGCACATAATGCTGAAGGTTCTCCCCAAAAGCCAATTCATATGATTAAAAAATTAGTAAGATTAGCAAGAAAAAAAGCCCTGTGAAATCCACACTGAAAAAAAAACCAGCATATTCACAAAAATAGTATCAACTCATGCTTTTTCTCTCATCTGGCCCAGAACTTCCCAACGTATGAAAACAACACACATACAATTTTTGATCTTTTCTGTGTCATTTTTGTAAATATGTGTCTTCCATATCATAGCTATCATCTGGTAATATTTGTGTGTGTGTGTATGTACGTACATTTTTACATTTTAAATATAGCACAAAAGGATAGTTTGTTTTGTGTTTTTTATTGTAAAAGATACCACTATGCTCCTAATGACCTGCCTAGCTCTTATTTATTTACCAACAGACAGACTGCAGTAAATCGCTTGCATATTCCTCAATGTGTTTGTCCCTTTGGGCTGATATGATGGATGTGTTCACCAGGCATTTTGTTTTTTGGAGCAATGTTGGCCGGAGCATTCTTGCCTGTGTGTCCTGGGTTTTACGAGTGAGTTTCCCTGAGTACACACCCCAGGGTGGGACTACACACATGGGGACTGTCAAGGTAAAAATAAACTGACAAGAACACATTTTTTCCAGAGCAATGACCTCAAAACTGCCAGCAACAGTTGTCAGATTCTGGTGCTTTTTCCACTTCTCAGAAAATACCTGATTACAGATGACAGAGGATGAACTTGATGTTAACATTTACTTAAGTATATTCTACAATAGAAAAATATGTTGAATAAATGCTGTGATATAAATATCTGTACCTGTAAGCAAATGTATCACCTATGAGAAATAATTTTTACAAATCAGTGATGCTGTTTATTAAACATTGTGCTATGTTTCATAAAATGTGTTATAATTGATTGACTTGGAAGTGAGATTTGCAAAGTTCAAGACCTCAGTAGCAGACAGTTACCCTCCGAGCAAACACACGGGACAAATACCCACTTGAAAATATGAAGCATGTATTGGTTAAAAATGAGAAGAACTTTTTAATTTAACGTTGCTAAATGTACTTCATGGTGTTTATGGGTTTCTTGCCAGGAAGACAGTTCAGCAGTGTTTACACATTGGAAGGAGGCCAACGACTTTGTGAAGTAAACTGTTTTAATCCAGTGTAATTTTTACACAGTACAAATTAAAGTTCTAAGAAGTAAGCGTACACTGGACTGTGGGAACAAGACACAGCACAATTAACAGCAGAAGGGCCACGGCCTTTGAAGAGGGAAAATTTGAACACTGATAACTTTAAAAGTTTGGCTCTTGGCCAGGCCCGGTGGCTCACGCCTGTAATCCCAGCACTTTGGGAGGTCGAGATGGGCAGATCACGAGGTCAGGAGATCGAGACCATCCTGGCTAACACGGTGAAACTCCGTCTCTACTAAAATACAAAAAAATTAGCCAGGCGTGGTGGCGGGCGCCTGTAGTCTCAGCTACTCGGGAGGCTGAGGCAGGAGAATGGCGTGAACCCGGGAGGCGGAGCTTGCAGTGAGCCAAGACCATGCCACTGCACTCCAGCCTGGGCCACAGAGCGAGACTCCGTCTCAAAAAAACAAAAAAACAAAACAAAACAAAAGTTTGGCTCTTAAAGGTGAGGGTTAAATGTACATAAATTTCCAAACGTTCCGTGAAATTGGAAATTTTTAATTTTATGTTAAAGAATGTGATTCTGTGCTTTTTAAAGTAGTGTTGAGAACTATAAATAATTACAGCAGTCAATTTGGGATTTTGACGTGGGGCATAGTTTGATTACTGGATTCAATGCCTAAATTCACAACTCTTCACTAAAACAAACTCAACTAAATATTGAATGCATGTGATGCATTACATGTTAATTCGTGTATCTTTAAACAATTTCCCTTCATGAATTATTTCCAGGAGGACCCACATCATCTGTAGATTTTAGGTATATCAAGCAAATTTTCCAGAAGTGTTACTGAAACAATAAATAAAAACAGTTGATTAATTAGGTAAAGAAACAAGGCTCTTGCAGGCAAGAGCCAGTGGTGTGTTTCATGTCCCATTCATTATGATTTAGAAGATTCTATTCACTTGAGGTATATTTAAAGAGATTTTGTAGCCTAATCTGCTGACAGGCTTATGGATTCCTCTGGAAAAACACATAAAAGAGTAAATTCAGAAGGTCAGAAATAAGCCACACCTAAATTTTTCAAGTATGGATCGTGGACAAACAAACTAGACTGTATCTACTCCTTTGCATTCTCTTTTTCAAAAATTCCAATTTTTAAAAATATTGGGCGTTCTTGATCTGTCTTCATGTGCTGTACCCTGGCTGATTATTTTTTAAATATGTGTATATTTCCATCCTTTTTTTATAATTTCTGCAAGCATGCCTCTCTCTGTTTCCAGCCACAGTTACTTTACCTTTTCTATATTTTAATGTGCTTCCACTTACTTAATACCTTTCTTGTAAATTCACGAATTTCTTTTCATTTTTACCTACTTTTAACATCATTAAAATGAGGAAAATAACTCTTCTAGCCTATATAACATTTTTAAGTTTTTGGTGTTTTATGAATTTTATTTTATTTTGTTTTGTTTTGTTTTGTTTTGTTTTGTTTTTAAGATGAAGTTTCACTCTCGTTGCCCAGGCTGGAGTGCAGTGGCATGATCTCAGCTCACTGCAACCTCTGCCTCCCAAGTTCAAGCAATTCTCCTGCCTCAGCCTCCCTAATAGCTGGGATTACAGATGCCCACCACCACACCCGGCATTTTTTGTTTTGTTTTGTTTTGTTTTGTTTTTTTGTATTTTTAGTAGAGATAGGGTGTCGCCATGTTGGGCAGGCTGGTCTCGAACTCCTGACCTCAGGTGATCCACTTGCCTCGGCCTCTCAATTGCATTTTATTTTTAAAATAAACTCGAGGTGCCTCAAATTTCTCTTTGACTATCTCATATTTGTATCACTTTCACTTTCTGAATAATTCCCCTTCTTATACACAAAAATTTTATTAGGGTATACTTACGCTTTACTTTTTCTTTACATAGCCATGACAGTTTAAATTCTGATCAATCCTCATTGTTAAGAGGAATGAGCTCCTTCCTCAATACTAACATGAATTAGGCAGCACCTTGAATTCTGGTCATCTCTTATCTTCAGTTGGTGGAGGGAAGTCAACACATCCCAATAAACCTCCAATTTCTTCTGCAGTTTTGCCATTTTGGAGGAAGGCAAAATCTGCACACAAAATAGCCTCTTCCATCAGAGGCTCTGTGAGCTATCATCACCACGCTGTACATTAGATCTCTAGAACATTTTCATCCTGCATAACCAAACTTTGTAGCCTTTGGCCAATGTGTCCTCATTTCCCACGCTCAAAACCCGCCTGACTAGAGTGTAAAAAGACTGTATTGCATACATGAAATTTGCTAGGAGGGTGTGTCTTACATGTTGTCACCACGTTAAAAAAAAATGAAGACAAAAATGATAACCCTGTGAGGGGAAAGATGCTTTTTTGTTAGTTCGACTGTGGTAATTATTTCACATACATCAAAACGTCATATTCCAACCACCAAATATGTATGATTTGTATATGTCAATAAAGCTTGAAAGTATTTGTTACAATCATTGTCATTCTCCCCTTTTCTTAAAATAATAAAGACATTTAATGTCTCATTTCACAAAAAGTTTTGAGGCAGGCAGTGCCAGTGCTGTCCCAGCAACCCAGTGACACTGGGGTTCTGGGTTGTGGGGTTCGGAGATGGTATCCCTGGGATTCCCTAGGCCATCATCATATCTTTTTATAATCAATGATATTTTGTTTTATTTTAAGTTCCAGGGTACATGGCCAGGACATGCAGGTTTGTGACACAGCTAAACATATGCCATGGTGGTTTGCTGCACCTACAAACCCATCGCCACATGGCCTGTGGCCCCTTTGCCTTGGACAATTTCTCCCATTTGGAATGGGAGCACTTGCCCAGTGTCTGTACTTCTATTGTATCTTGGAAGTAGCTGACATGTTTATAATTTCAGAGGCTCATATGGGGAAGAGACTTGCCTTGTCTCAGAGGAGACTTTGGACTTGGACTTGTGAGTTCATGCTGAAATGAGCTAAGACTTCGGGGAACTGTTGGGAAGGCATGATTGGTTTTGAAATGTGAGAAGGACATGAGATTTGGGAGGGGCAAAGGGCAAAATGATACGATTTGGCTATGTCCCCTCCCAAATCTCATCTCAAATTTTTCCCATGTATTTGAGGAGGGCCCGATAAGAGATGATTGGATCATGGGGG